AAATGAGGTCTGAGATGCTGCTTCCATCATGAGGAAAGTCATCCAGATACCTGCCCTAGACCACCAGTAAGGGTAATTGGGGAAAAAGAGGGAAAACCAGGCTTGTGTTGAAAAAGACTCCCAGCTTTGTCCAGACTGTTCTAAATTCCACTGACCCTTTCCCAGATGGCTTAATGATACTGGAACAAGCGGTGCTATAGTAATATTTTTTGGTATCAGTATTACGAAAGATGCAAATGTTATCAACCATTATAATTTTGACCACTCCTCTAAGTGACCTATTTAAGATGACTACCTTAAAGCTGAGAGGAAAGACAAGAAAAATTTAAAAGCAAGCCAAATTCAAAAGCAATCCACAGCCTGTGGATTCTTGCCAGTTTTAATTATTCTTCAGCATGTTCAGAGATGTTTCAAAGGTGTTCTACTTCCTGTTTTCTCACTCTCCCACCTTAGGCATGTTTGCTCTGTAAGTGAGGTCCAATACTTTATCTGGAGTATCTGGTACACGATTCATGGTCTTGATCTCATGTATAAGCTTAAAAGAAAACTGAAATCATACATAACTCACTACAAGGTCAGAGAGTGCATCAGTTGGTAACAGGGAACAAAATGTTTCAACAGTTCAAACACAATACAAACTTACGCTAGATAAAAGGAAATTCTAAAATTGAGGACAATTATAATAAGTAATAGAATTACATTAAAACACCATGCATGTTAAACATGCTTAAACTATTTAGGTGGAAGTCAACACCATCGCAGAGGGAAGACAGCAAACAGTGGTGGTTGAAATACAACCACTCCACAAGCAGCGAAAAGTGTGTGTTAATTACATTGACGGTGTTACAAGTAGTCGAAACTCTTTATCTCACTTTCTGCTAAATCCTCGCTGTTGTTTAGCCAACTCCCCGGAAACTGACATAATCAGAAGTACTCAGCACATGCATGCTGTGAAAGAGCTGTGTCAGTATCACACAGGTGGGATGACTTGTTTGGGTAAAGCCAAGACAACAAAAGCCCTTATCAGATTTTGGATCAGCAAGACACCCAAAGTGACCAGTAAACTCCCAATGACCAAAGTTTGCAGCACTTTTCGTATTTCTAGAAGTAATCCTGGAATCTCTACAGACAGAACAAAAAACTGTGCCTTTTGAGTGTCAATCCTTGTTATATGTGCTTGCTTCCTTGGAGACTTCCTGTACTAGAGATTTTTGCAATCATAAACATAGCATTAGAGAATGTTTTTCAAAGAGGAGTCAACAGAAATATGACATAAAACACCTCCATCAATATAAATGGCCAATACTATTATTTTACAAATAGGTAAGTCCTTTAATTGTAAAAATACTTGATTTTTAAATCTTTGGAGAAAAAGAGTATTGCTTTTCTCAGTTAATAATATAAATTTTTTATTAACCTAGAAAATCTCTGATATGTAGGAATATGCACCAAAAATATGCCTGGTAGCGCTATTTAAACCAACAGAGTTTTAATCAACTGTTCTGCTTCCACTAATAATGATAGAAAGAATAA